TCTCCCGTCCATCCACCGAGAATTTTTATTTATTTTTAACATTTTTTTAAACCAATTTTAAATCTAACACTGTTAAAATTTTTTCTCTAAAACTAACACTTTTAGCTATGTCTATTTCTCTGGTGCAGCAAAATACCTGTGTCGCGCCATACATGGTGGGAGAGAATTAAATAAAGAAGCCCATAAGACACCGTAGCTCACGTCGCCGTAGACTTGCAGCCATGCTATTGCTTGCTGCACCAACGCGAACGTTGGCCCCCCGGTCTTTTTAACTGTGGAGGAGGCGTGTCCTGTACTACGTGTACCCGTGAGCGGTGTGTCCGTTCAGCTAGAGTGCTCGGCATGCTTTATTTCCTCCTCGGAGAACGGCAGTTCACTCAGGCCTGGTTTAGATGGTAAGTTTTTTCACTCTTTTTCTATCACATTAAATCTTAGGACATATGCATGGAGTATTAAATGTAAATAAAAAAATAACTAATTACACAGTTTGATTGTAAATTACAAGACGAATTTTTTGAGTATAGTTAGACCATGATTAGACAATAATTGTCAAATATAAACGAAAGTGCTACAGTACCCAATACTGATTCCTAACCTCAATCTAAACAAATCCTCGGATCATGTGTCGGCAGCTGCAGTGCCTCGCAATTGATGTCAACCTGCCGCCGAGGTGGGTGTCTCATGAAGTCTGAAAAACGTTCTTGTGATAGCTTTGTCATCATGGTTTATTGCCCAACCCTGGCCGTTCCTTAGCCGCTGGATATAATTTTTCCTTCTTCTCGTATTGACTTTTCGATGGAAGAATTTTGTGTTAGCATCACCTAATTTGATGGTCGACAGTCCGGATGCTTGTTTGCATCTTGCTCTTTCAATCACAGCTAGGCCGAGCACTCCCGTAATAGTTGTTCGGCAGGCGTCAATTCTCTATTTTCTTGGGCAATGTACCGGGAGTCTGGGAGCCCAGTCGTTTTGCCCGCAGGGGCTCCGAATTGCAGTGGATGTCCATCGCCGCTTTCAGGCCGGCACGGCGGCTAGTTGATCCCGTTTCTCCGAAGCACTTGGGCCCCAACAACTCAAGGTACGGCCTCCAATCCGGCGATCATTCTGTCATTCTCTGTCCACTACCTTCCGCGCAGCCACACGCACAGAAAAAGCCTCCAATCGCCGCTTTGCAGTGATGTTTCAGTATCAGAGATGCTCGATACTCCTGCACGGATACACCGCACACGGGTACACGTAGTACTGGACACGCCTCCTCCGAATATGCTCGGTTGTTTTTATTTGTTTGTTTTGTGTCCTAGTATAGTTGACTTTGTGTCGTACATGGACGTGTTGGACGTCCCTCTTTAGTTATGGAACTATGTAGATAACAATATTAAAATGTTAGTTCACCTACAAATTAAAAACTAATACCATAATTGAGTTTTGGATATTTAGGTTCGTACCTTAAATTGTTTTCATCAATTGTAATGTTTCTTTAATTTGTCTGATGAATTTTTTTAGGTTAATCTGAAAGTTCATACCATTTATGTTTGGCTTGTCATTTGTTGGTTTCTAATCTTTTGCTCTGTGAATGGCTGTTGTCGACGTAGTTAATTCATTGCTCTCAACTCTTGGTGCATTTTCCTTGCATCTTTGAAATTATTTGATATGTATCAATTGCGTCCTAGAAAAGGATGTGAGAGTATTTTTTTGGCCGTGGTAGCGTTTTTTTAGATTTTTGTGAGATGTTGGTTCATGTTTATTAAGAGCATGTCCTGATGAATACGTTGATTCTTCAAGATCGAGGATTCAATGTGTTAGTACATATCTATTTTTGGAAAAATAGTATAGATTTTAAGCTACACTCTAGCTACTACGATGGCATAAAAAGTCATTACAACTTGGAGAACAACCATCAAGATGTTACATTTATTGTATAAAACGATTAAATATTATTTACTATTCTTAGGTCACAATCCTTTAATCAATATATATACACTTATTTAAATAACAATGGTTATTAATTTATTTATCGTAATAACTTATGTTATTATTTACACGTAGATTTAGAGTTATGTTTATTTAATAATTTTAGTATTTACATGTAGATTTAGAGGTATATTTATTTATTTTTATAATAGTCAAGGTGGATAATTTAGATAATAAAAAGTTTTATTTTATATTATCTCTGTTAGTGACATATGTGGGTAATTTAGATACAAATTTATGGGTTATCTTGAATTATAGTTCTAATGGCAGAGGTGCATAATTCAGATGTAAATTTTGAAAGTTAATTTCAGTTTGCGAGTCGTTGACGAAAATTGTCTCCTCTTTATTTATATATAATAAAACAGTCCGACCGCACATGCAAAATTTTGTTTGTTTGTTTCTCATATTCTAACAATATATTAAACTTCCATTAGATTTCTATTAATAGATTAACTAATTGCGGACTTGGTGGGTCCTACATATTCTCTTCGTCCCAAAGTAAACATACATATCATTTCCTAAGGACTCAAATTATTTAGAGTTTGGTCAAATATTTATAAAAATATATTAGTATTTATGAAGAATAATAAGTGTTATTAGATTCAACATATAATGTAAGTTTATAATAAAAGTTTTTGGAGATACAAATGTCACTATTATTTTCTTTACGTCTCGTCAAATTTAAAAAATTTTGACTCCTTGAAAGTGGAATATGCGTTTATTTTGGGACGGAAGAAGTATATAATAATCTATTAATACATTACCAAGTGAATGCGATTAGTAGGACTCATCTGATATTTAATTAATACATATATTTTGTTTTATTAATAAAGATATTCTATTGACTAGCTATGAACGTTGTTACTGCACATATGATATTTTAATAATTTATTGCCAAGTGACGTGATTAATAAGATCCAACTCATCTAATATTTTATTAACTAATTGTGAATGTCGATAATGTGATATTTTCAATACATATATTTTGCTTTATTAATATATTGTTTTTGTTAACTAACTAGGAACGTCAGTATTGCAGATATGATATTTTAATAATGTATTACCATGCGACGTGAATAATAGGACTCGTCCAATATTTCATACTAACTAACTGTAAATGTTAGTACTATCGATCAAGATTTTCTACGAACCTTCAATGTTTTTTTCTCCTAAAAAGTGATTTTTATCTATAATGGCAGAGGTGGGTATGGTGATGGATGGCTAGAGTCTTTGATTTAGTGGTTGGATGTTTTTTATTAATGTGAGAATTTTTAGTATTTTTTTTCTAGTGTATCTGGTGAGGATTAACGTGGAGGCTATGTTGGGGCCTCTAATTACAATAATGTTTCTGCTTGGCAAAAAGTGACCGTACCTAGTATCCTATTTTTAACAATTCTTAGAGATGATTTTGAACAAACTTTACTTTTACAATAAGAGCAAGTATAGAAATGGGCGTGACACCGAGCATATCAGCTCGTGTGGCTGAGCTGAACGAGAGAAGGGAGGAAGAAATAAAATAAAATAAAATATTAATATGGTTGCTAGAGAATATCAAGAGACAAGTTATCGTAAGAATTGGCTCTAATTTTGCTGATATGGCTTGTCTTATAGACAAGTAATTGACTCTCTTGCTCTAATCATGCTACTGCATATTAATAAAAAAAAGGATATTATTGCACATGTATAGGGACAAGCAAGATCTAGTCTGGCGTGGCGCTAATCCACTTTATATATTTTTTTTCATTTTTGCTATTTCCTCAATTCAAATGAGGGTTGTTGAGGCTTAATATGTGTCGATGTTTTTGTATGCCTAAGCTAGTTTTGTAACACATATTTTGTTTCTCATACTTATTATAATAATCATTTTTAATTTTATATAAAGGTCCTTTGGTCCGGCTCATAGATATAGGTGTTCTTTTAGAAGACAAAATAAGTCAAATAGAATCAAAGTTAAGTTTCTGACCTTTTTAGAATTTCCACGATTTATTTTTCCAAGCACATCTTGTAATGACTAACATGGAAGCTTCTTTGGAGTCTTTAATCAGACTTTTCTCTACTTAACTCATTTTTGAAAACATAAATCTTCAATTAGGAAAATTATAATTGTGTTCATGTTGCCTATCATACGGATTTGGAAATGATATTCCCGCTGCTTTAGAGCATCTCCAAGAGGTCCTCTACCACAAAATACAATGCATGGTAGTTTTCACACGAATTTAAGAAACATCCTTCTCGCTCTTTATCATAAATTTAGAAAACAAATAAAAAAACATGCTCCAATAGACTCTCTACACCACTCTATCTTTTCCACCCTCCAAAAACCACCCTTCTCGCTCTCCCTTTTGAGAGGCTACATTACTCTCTAAATCTATATCTATCTATCTATCTATCTATCTATCTATCTATCTATCTATATATATACACCAAAAAGACTGTAACGTCATCGTCTACCCGATGATACGAAATCTTGATCTTGCTCACGTATCCGCGTCCAACACGAATCATCCTCCACTCGGGGCTCACGCATCCGCGTGTTACCCATTTCCAATATGAAAACCAGATCCACATGGCCACGTCCAATACGAAGTCCTCGGAGCTCATGCGTCTGCATCCAATTACTAAGGTAGAGTCCAAAAATTCATGGTCCTAGTGCAACAGGCATACATCTAATGTAATATATAATAGCTTTATCATGATTTTTTCACACAAGGAATTTTTTATAATCCATTGGAGTATAGAGAACAAAAATTAGAGTCTATTAGAAACACGAGAGGTATACAAAAGGAATATCCTTTGAATAGCTCTGCAAATAGACATCTAGAGGTGAATAGCTCATGTTTCACCTAATGTTTCTTAACAAAGATTTAGTAATATGATGTGGTGTCACTTATTGTCTATTATAGTGGATTGATTTTTCAAAATATTCTCCATATATACCCCCTGTTGTACTATAAGGTTAACTTCCATCTTGTTTATTTTGTGTAGTAGGGAAACATATTTGATCTTCTAGAAAGTACAACAGAAAAGAAATGGCCACTCAAGATGATACATATCGCACTCTCGAGTACATGCTATGTGATAAAAGAGGAGAGCCATTGAGTCTTAAGCAACACTTTTTGGAAACCATCACAAACAACTTCTCCAAGGACAACCTTATTGGTTGTGGCGGATATGGGGAAGTATACAAGGTATGTGGGACTTTTTCTTTCTAGTCACAAAAGCATTTCAAAACCTAATAAAATATAAGAAGTATTTCACTACATATTTATTCAGTAGTGAGAACACTTTTCCAACAGATTATGAAACCCTTAGAAGGGGTGGATTAGGGTCTCTTAAAACTAGGCCAACTTTGCACACATAAACACCTACATAAGTCAATCTAGATGTGCACTAGGTTTCTGCTTATGATGATATCTCTATCACACAAAAGTTTTGTAGCATAGATTCCAATCCTATTAACTATTCTAAGAAAGTAAAGCAATCAATACATGCCAGGTCAAAGAATACAATGGGTATATAAAGAGTTATGGAAAATGCAAACTCCTGCATGTCAGCTTTTTACAAATGTATTGAAAAGGTCGCCCTTTTCCCTAATTCTTGTTGGAGTCCCTAGTAAGGAAGCCCTTATAGGGCCAAGCTCTCAGTCGAGTAACTCCACGCAAATAGCCGAAGGGCTTTACTATGCATAGGTGGGTATTCACATTGCCTCATCCGAAAGACTCTCTATATTCTTCACTCACTAGAGGTTTTGGCTAAAACCAAGGGCCTCTCATTCTCACACAATGGCGACCACACAACAAATGATATTTGAGGGTCTCACAAGAGTAGAAGACGTGCAAGCCCTAGATTACAAATTACAATATTTGGTGCACGCAAGCATAACAAGCAAAGAGATATGCAAACCTAGCCTACCACTATGGTAATACCTAAAGAAATGCGCTAACTAGTCCTAACCGGGAACTAATCATTAGCACTAAAGACTTAACCTTCTCTTGAACACTTTTGAGGCTAGAGACCACAAATATGTGTGTCTACATATAATCCCACTACAACAATTCAGAATGATCTAAATCCATATGTATAATAGCCTCAAGTACACAACTAGTTGTTGCACACAATTTCACACATTATGCGATCACTAGATCTTCTAGTGGTTGTAAGTGGCCATCACTAGAACATCCGATGGGTTGCACTCAACTGGTTGTCGTGCCCTAGTACACATCACATCATGGTCCAAAGAAAATTCTCAATGGGAACTAGACCTTTCGGTGCCTCCCACTATGTCTTTGGTGTGCTTTTGTAGTCATCAAATAACTAGGGTGCATGGTTTCTCCTATCACTGAACCTTCCATTGATCCTGGCATGCCTTTTTCCTAATCCTTAAAACAAAGCTATAGTAGTAATATTCTAATGGCTCAAATTTATCACAAGATCATCCAATGAAGCATTTCATCAGGTCCTCGTGATGCTGAACAATTAATGTGGTGGTCTTGATCCGAGTCTGGTGCTACTGTTCATAGCTCTGGTGGTCTATGTTTCTTTGTTTAATTTTGTTTCTTCATGATGGGTTGTTTGCTGATGTTTTGGAGTCTTCATCACGTACACTTGGTCTTCCATTGAGGTGCACTCTCCCAAGTATATCAACTTGCATATGTCAGACTAAGTCCTTATATACTAGCACACGTTGTTAGTCCCATTTGAAGTCGAGAGCATGAACTTGGGTAGATAGGTTCCACCACAAGGAACCTAACCATCTAAGCTACGCTTAATTTGCATCTTTGTTCCTTTGCTAATACTCGATAGTGTTGTGGATGATGCAATCGTGCCTTGCCATGACAAAGCCTTGCACGAGCATATGTACTCAAAGGGGCATTATGTAGGCTAGAAGACAATTGGGATCCACTCCTACTACACGCTGAGGGATGGTTCCCTTCAAAGTTGCACTAGAGAAGCTCAAGATTTGAACTGTTCAATGTCTTCCTTCCTATAGTGCATGCCTCTGACCACTGCTACTCTTCCTCTAAGTGAAGGGTTTCATTTTCATTAGAGATGTAGAAGGAGTGGTTTAATCTAGATGCCACTCAATGTACACTTTCAAAACATGGAAATTGTTCCACACTAGCATTGGGCACATTAAATTCTACGACTAACCAATAAAACAAAACTAAAACTATGCATTGGAAGCTGTGGTTTCATTCATCCATGCAATAGCTCTAAATGATGTGGCCCTCTTACAACATCTCCAGTTGTTCCCAAAAAAATGGGTAAACCAATGAGTTTTCCAAGTTGCTAAAAAAAGTAGGGAGCATATTTGTTGTCTTACTCCAACCATTTCCAACATCTCGCTTCTAAAAGCTATAAGGCAATTTTGTATCCGAAATCCCGGACTATTTTCAAATCATCCCAGCCACTTCTATACTTTCTTTCTCTTCTATATTTGCATACTTTCTTTCTCTTGTACATTTGCATTGTGAACCCTATCCTTCTTCGTTGCATCCTCCCACCTCTAGATTGGCCGTTTGGATATAGACGCGTATATATTTGTGCAATTGGATCAATTTTGCCAAGTGTAGAAATATTGGGAGTTGAGATGAGGAATTGTGGGAGAGTTTTTTTTTTCAATCTTGCCAAAAAAATAAGATTGGAATTGGGTTTTGGAAACTCTTGGAGGTGTTCTTAGAATCAACAAAATATCCACCCATTGAGATTGGCCACTATGGCTACTGAGCTGAATACTGCTTAAGGAAACAATATAATTCAAATGATATATAGGGGCAACTATGAGGTGGTTGAATAGAACGATGCCATTGAGGGGGAGGGGGCTTGATATCGATCTTGGAACTCATAGTGTAAATCAGCGATAATGACCTCATGAAACACATTGTAGGGCCACACACGTGACCCACTTTACAAAATTCATTAGACATGCCAAAACCGGATTTTGTTCCAACTATGAATACAAAATACTTGTTGATGATGACATGTAAGGAAAAGAATGTTCAAATCCATTATAAACTCAGTGGAAAATGACTAATGTATAATCCAATCCTTTTAAGACCAAGACAATCAATGATGATCTAATAACAACAGAATCAGTATATCGACACGTGGTTCCATGTCAAAAACTAGATCTTGGATTTAAAATCTAGTGTTCACATCTAAAAATTTAGCAAATTTGACAAAGCTAATTGATGCAAATAAGGGAGTCTAGATATATGTGAGGACCCATGTTAAAACCGAGCACCTGCAACTAAACGTCACATTCATACAATGAAATTTTAACGAAATTCACTAAAAATTATTTGATATGGCACATTATGATATTTAGGTACTCCTTTCAGATAATATATAGCTCGATTTAAATGTGTGACCCAAGGAAAAAGGCAGACCTTGGAATTTGAAAACATTGTGTTCACACCTTAAAATATTAGTGAAATTAACTAAATTTGTTTCGAGGCCAACTAGCAAGATATATGTACAGCCACACACTTCTCTACCAATTTTGAAACGTCTGATCATAAAATTGAAGCTCTAGGTCCATATAGTATAGATCTATCCTCCATCTAACCAAAACCTATCCATGCATCATAATTGATGTCACTTTAGCTAATTTACAAAATCATCGAGACACCTAGCTTGCTAAGACATTGCAACTTGGATCCGCGATTGAAATGTTTCTGGCACCAAAGTTGGATTTCCTCTTTCATACCAGCAAAACTACATCCACCTCCCTTGAGCTCACTATTTTTTGGACATATAGCAGCACGGTCTAAACATTGGCAGAGCTCAGAGAGGAAGAAGACTTTTTTACTGTAGTGATTATTTCACACGGTTCGAACCGTTAACCTGATTAATTAGCAGGTAGAAATCAGGTGCACTTATACTAGCAGATTTTGGTAAGATGTACATACTTGATTTCCACCTCATATAAGCTAAACTGTAGAAAATAAGTATGTATAACTATGTCGAACACCAAATTACAACAACTTCAAATTATTTTAAGATAGATATAACTATGTGACTTTCATGTTTCCAAAATATAAATTTTATAAGAGTTATGGTTTGTCGCTGCTTTACATGTTTGACCAAATCTTGTCCAAAATGTCAAGTATTTATAACTAGGGTGAGTACATCATTATAGGCCTGTTCTTAAGTTAGATGTTGGCAATTGTGCATACCTATTTGAATTATTAATTCACCTCTAGATGTTGGCAATTGTGCATACCTATTTGAATTGTTGGTTCACGTCTAGTTTATTTAAATAATTAGTTATGATTTAATCTCACAGGGCATCCATAAAAATAAATGAACAAATATTCTATCAGAATTTATAGATTATTTCTTTTTTCTAGCCATTGTACATTTTTACTCTTAAATAGATACATGCTTGTGGAAATATTATATAAAAAATTGAGGAGAGTAGTTCAAAACTTACAGGGAGTGCTTGAAGATGGCCTTGTTGCTGTCAAGAAGTTATACTCAGCTCATGCAATCGAAGACGAACCATTTCATCGCGAGGTTGATTGTCTAATGAATATTAGGCACCACAATATAGTCTTGTTTGTTGGGTACTGTGCTGAAACACAGGAAGTCGTCGTGCATCAAGAAGGGAAAAATATTTTTGCGGAAAAACGAGAAAGGTTGCTTTGCTTCGAGTATTTGCGTAATGGAAGCCTTCACAAGCATCTTACTGGTATGATTGTGGAATAAATTAAACATGTGATCCAGTTACTCGAAATGGATGGGCTTTCCAATCTTAGTACTCCATTGAGTCCAAAATATGTTGCACTTTTGATTTAGCATGGTCTTCCATGTGTTTGAAATATGGAATGAATTTATGAGATTGTGGTTGCACTTTCCAAGAAAAAATGCACACATGTAACTACTTTTTAGAGTAGATATCTTAAAAGTTATTGATCATCAAGTTCAACAAGTTTAATTATATTCTGTTCAAAATGTCAAGCTTGTAAGACTAGAGCAGTAGATGTGTGAAGTATACATCAGCATAAGCTTTAGAAACCATAATTGTATTGGTTAGTAGGACACATTCAAAAGCTACTGTGATGTAAAATTGTATAAAACAAATGGAAATTTTGTTTTACAGCGCACTGCAATGAGGTTTTATTCACAAGACACTTGACCAATCGGTTATGTCTACATTACTGCACAAACAAGTTGCTTTGTTCCATGAGACACTGGAACAGGGGAAAGCACTATTATGAATGTTTCTTCTTCATGCATAAGAAACTTTGCAAAATGATGCAACATTATAGAATACACCATTATGAATATTCTATTTCCCCGTCTCTGTGTACAAGAAAATGATGTAACTATTTAATTTTGACCAAGAAAAGTGCACATACATCTACAACATGAAATTAGTTTCAGTAAATTCTCCATGAAAAAAAGGTCATGATAGTACATTTATTTGGAAACCTATAGATGTTAATATATATTTTCTAAAAACTTGGTAAAAGTTACAGAAGGCCTGATTTTGGTCGAAGTAAACTATAATTTGGAATAGAGAGAGCAAAATACTATATGAAGTTTTAATAGAATGCATTTTTATGTACTATTTCCATTGTTGATTTGAGGATTTATTTTATTTATTATTATTGTTGTAGTACAATGAGTGATATTCATGTTTTTCAGCTGGACCATGTGGGCTTCCATGGCGTGTTTGTTACCAAATAATAAAAGGAATTTGTCTGGGCTTGCACTATCTGCACGAGAAGCACATAATTCATTTAGATCTCAAACCGGACAATATATTGCTTGACGATGGCATGGTGCCTAAAATTGCAGATTTTGGTTTGTCAAGGCTCTTGGGTGATGAAAAAAGCCGCACGATCACACAACTAAGATGCGGAACACGGTGAGCTATGTATATACCAAAAAATTAGGGATATTATCCTTGCAGGTCGTTTTTTAAATCAAAGATATCAAAATGTTTTTTTCTCTGTTGTCAGCCGTGACATTATCAGTGTTCATGCATGCAGGGGTTACATGGCACCTGAGTACTTAGATGATGGAATGATCACAATCAAGTCAGACATATATAGCTTGGGTGTGATAATCAGACACATGGTGAAGGGACGTAACTCGGCAGATACCACTGATCAAGATGTATGTTGAAGAAGAAATATATATAAGATTTTGTGTGTGTATATGTATATTCTTGTAATAATAAGGAGATACATTGTTAGCCAGGTACTAGAGAGCTGGATGATTAGGCTGGAAAAGGATTCATCACAAATGAGGCAGCAGACCCAATTATTGGAAATAGGCTACAAAGAGCAAATAAAAGCGTGCTTCGAGATATTACAGAGGTGCACACGGCCTGAACCAAAGGATAGGCCAACGACAGAGGATATCCTACTTACACTGGAGGAAACAGAAGCAAGAGTCAAATTGGTCGCTGGGCCTACTCCAAATGCCTGTCAGGTATGTACATACTTATCGGGATAATATATTAGACATTTTCACTATGTGTAAGATAGCAACATAGGCATATTTTGTGTGAACCGTTTAAATTCCACAATATACATTTTTTATGTATGGAACCACCTCTGTAAGCTTATTCCATACATCTTTGCATATTAATCCATATATATAAATCACACATTTACAAATTAAGCCACATTTTATACAAACAATGTCCATCCCCTACATCATTCAATTGCCACATTTCGTACAAATATTACATATTTCATATACTTATGTATCTTTAATTTCAAGCCAACAACACGTCATTACACATATAAAAAGTGCACATTTGTATGCTCCATTCGTCCTTAAATATACACACATCTAGCAATTTCGGGACAATTTAAGCTAGAAGAGAAAAAATCCATAATGCACTAACTAAACAGCTATAACCACGCTCGATTGGTATAATTGTTGTTTTATTTTTGGTTAATCAATGCAGTATAAATGGTAGGCTTAATTAATCATTTGTTGGTTTGGGCATAGCCACATATTGGCATAATTGTAGGCAATGCGTTCTGCTAATGGATGCATCGAATGATATGTTTAGTTAATTATTTGTAGTGTTGAGCAATTTCATCCTTCAAATGTTTCATACTTAGTGATGAATTTGAAAGCTTCAAATACTTGTATTTAGGGACTGAGAGAATAAATAATAGACTAATATGGATTAATTAACTTTCCATTATATAAACGCACTTGTTCGTATATTTCTATGGCAGTGTCAATTAATCTTATTTTTCCAGTTTATGGATTTTTAATCTTAATTGGTGTGCCACAGCTTGAGCTTGCCAAATTTGGGCCATGGGGTGGAGATGGGGGGAAGCCACGAGACATCAAAATGGTGCCTTACCTCTTGGACAACATAACAATTAGCAGTGGAACTATTATCGACTCTATCGGGTTTTCATATACTGACCACTATGGACAACACCACACTATTGGGCCTTGGGGCGGTAAGGAGGGTAAGAATAAGGTGAGCATGAAAAGAATAATGCTTTCTGTACAAATATAAATGATGTTATTTAGATGTGTGCAACACTGCACGAAGTTAAATTTGCACTTGTGGATGTAATCATTGTTTAAGCTTGGGGGGCTACATCTCAAGACATGCCAGCATGCATAGGCAAATACAGGTAGCTAGCATGATGATATGACTCCAAAACTCTCGTTTCATATAAATGCAAGTACAAGCAATACAACCCATCCAATGTGTAGTCTGCTATTAGTGATGTTTTATAAATTCTAGTAAATTATCTATTGCATATATTGTATGTACCTCTGACGAGGTAGGATTGATTCACACCACCCCTTCACAAATGGCAAAATTTTCATAGTTCCCATGGGAAATATATAACACAATGACTCGACTACCACGGAAGAGAATGTCTGACACATTGGACCCAAAGCTGTGAGTGGCCTGTCATGTCTGAGTAGTTTCCTACCTCGGATATTGAGACCAAGCTATATCACTAGGATGACACTACTTTTCTCTCTTTCTTTAATTCCAATGCTAAATCAGGTAAAACCATAGGTGGCGGTCATCTATCTTTGTCCTAAATCAAACTATGCAGGTTTGACCAAGTTTATAGAAAAGAATATCAATTAATAACATGAAATAGGTTAATATGAAGTATGTGTCACGGTGAACTCAGGGACAATTATTTGATATCATAAATGTTAGTTTTTTTATAAAAGCTTAGTCAAACTTGATATAGTTTCACTTACCACAAAAGTTAAACCATCACACTTTTGTGTGATGGAGGTAGTAGGCATTAAATTGTTGCTGCTAGGACATTTGTTGACATGGTAAAACTGTAATGAAATAAGTGAGGTAAGAAAGGCCTTCATTGAGGTACACCTTGGGCATGAAAACATTTCTTTGAGAACACATCTTGGTTACTTTATCATATCCATAATTCATACAACAATTAATTGACTTCTAATTACTAAGAAAGAACACCATGATAGTACTACTATAAGGGTATATCATCCCTCTTCATAAAGCATGTCATCTTTGTAGAACTTGCTATGAAAGAATGGATTTGCAGTAGCCTAGTGGTAACATTTGGACTCATATATAATTCTATAAAGAATCATAAGTAAACTAGGGATTTTGATGACATTCCTAAGTTATAATTTAAAGTACTAAAATTTGGTACTCGAGATGCCAATTTCACATACCTCCTATGTTGTAGTAAAGGTAAATCTTGATACCTCTCCAAGGCAGTATCTGACTACTCATGATTGTCTACAGGATATTTCAATGTGAAATATTGTTTCTCTTTCTCTTGCAGATTCAACTAGGTCCTTCGGAGTTTCTTACAGGAGTATCTGGAACAATCGGTCCATTCAAAAGTCTAATAAATGTTATAACATCACTTACGTTTGTCACCAACACTCGTAGTTATGGACCATTTGGAAAAGGCCAAGGAACACAATTCCACATTCAAATGCAAAACAATGGCCGGGTTATTGGTTTCTTTGGTCGTTCCAACCAATATCTCAATGCGATTGGTGTCTACACAAACCAAGATGTACTACAAATTTAGTCCATACTAGTTTTTTTATCTGTGTTTACTTTACTTATTCAGTTCACTTCTAGGCTAGGGTTGCAAGGATTGGGCCTTTGGGTGGAGATGGAGGGGTTCTTCATGACATCATAGTAATAAACCACATCATTTAGTAAGAATGGCAATTTTTGATGGAACTATCATGAGTTCACTCTTGAGTTTTTATCCAGGACCACAATGGGCAGCAGCATAGTGCAGGTCCATCGGGAGAATGTGGAGGTAACGATCATAAGGTGAGCATTAATCGTTATGAAATCTAGCTCTCGACTCTCAAGATAACTTTCCTAATTTCTAGTCTTAATTCCTGTTCCCAAGCCTGATGTGTATGCCAAATTTGGCCCATGGGGTGGAGATGGAGGAAAGCCACAGGACATCAAAATTCTACCCTACCGTTTAGATAGGGTTAAAATTAGCAGCGGAGTTATTATCGATTCAATTGGGTTTTCATACACCGACCACGATGGCCAGTACCACACTATAGGCCCTTGGGGCGGCCATGGAGGAGACAATAACTCTGTGAGTGTGATGAACAGAATAAATCTTTCTTGTACCAATATGAATTATATTGTTTAGATGTGTGCAACACAAAGTTAAATTTGCATTTATGAAGTTCCTGGTTATTATTGTTTTAAATTTGGGGGACTACATCCCAATACATGCCAACATGCACATGCAGAGAGAACTAACCAGAGACAGATAACTAGCTTGATACTATGACTCCTAATTAACATTGTCCCTGCTGAATTGTAATGCCACTCTCTCCAAAACTCTCATGTAGTACATGCAAACACGAAATATAATTTTGAAGAAACTATGCATTCGGAATGTGGTTTATATTGTAGTGTCTACTTGACTTGGTAAGTATGAAAACCATCTCATAGTTTCTAAGTTGGATCTTCCCTAATAAATTAGGGTTTTTTAAGACATTCCTAAATTCTAATTTAAGGTGCTAAAAGTTGTACATAAGATGACAATAGTTTTGTGTACCTCATATGTTATACTAATGTATGGTAAATCTTGATAAAAACCTCCCCAAAGGCATGGTACCACTAAGGCCCCCTTTGGAATGGAGGAAAAATTCTTGTTTCATGTGTTTTTCTAGTGAAAATGAATTGATTCCTATACAACTACTGCAAAATTCCTACGTTTCAAAGGGCCCTAAAAGTTACTACCTGAGCCTAGGTATTCATAATTGTCTGGGGGTGTATATTTCAATGTGAGAAATACTTTCTGTTTTTCTTGCAGTTTCAACTAGGGCCTTCGGAGTTTCTTATAGGAGTATCCGGATCAATCGGTACATTCAATAGTCAACTAAACGTAATAACGTCTCTTACGTTTGTCACCAACGCTCGTAGCTACGGACCATTTGGAAAAGGGAGAGGAACATATTTTCACATTCCAATGCAGGGCAATGGCTGCATTGTTGGTTTCTTTGGGCGCTCTGGACAATATCTCAATGCAATCGGTGTCTACACAAATCCTGAGTTAAAATTAATTAGGAAAGAAGAGGTACTAATTTATTATTCCATATTAATTTTAGTTGAAATTTGTCTTCTTATTGGTTCATTCGTTCTAATTTTTTACTGAATCGGTTTTTTTTAATTGCAGGCTGAGGTGGCCAGGATTGGACCTTGGGGCGGAGATGGAAATGTTCTTCATGACATCACAGAAAAACCACATCACCTGCAAAGAGTGACAATTTTCAGTGGGGCTATCATAAATTCACTTGAGTATATATACAGTGACCACAATGGGCAGCAGCACACTGCCGGTCCATGGGGCGGCTGTGGAGGAAACGGCCGAAAGGTGAGCCTCAATCGTAGTGAAATCTAGTTTATATATGCAATTCATGTGGTCCATAACTTATCTCTTTTTTGTAAAAATAATAAATAACCAGCTGGAGGCAGTTTTTTATACTAGTAGTATGGAAAAGGTAATGCGTGCCCAGGTTTTTTTGACTGTTTGCCAGCACCAAATTTTCGAAGCCAATCATTGAACTCCATCTGGTGACAGAAATTCGGGTGCTGGGCTGGTAGGATGACCGGTGACTAAAGCCCGTTAAGGCCTAGTTTGGATGTCTATGTATATTTACATCAATCCAATGTCTATTGAAGTGGTTTGATCAACTAAATTCCATATCAATCTATTCTAACACATATGGATTGAGATCAATACATTATACATGAGCATCCAAACATAATGCCCTTACTGTATTAAACAATATGCAGCGCACCTTGTCCAAATTAAAATATATTGACATCAGCTTAAATAACCATTGCTATTTTTTTTCTCTCTGTTCCTTTTTGCAGATTCATCTTGATCCTGAAGAGTTTATAGTGGAAGTTTCTGGAACATTTCATCCATGTGCATGGGACAGATCAATACCAAATGTTATATCTTCTCTTACTCTTGTCACCAACACAGGCAAAACACATGGGCCTTTCGGAAAACAGCTTGGAGCTGCTTTCCACGTTCCGGTGCAGAGCAACAGCAGGATAGTTGGCTTCTTTGCCCACGGAGACAATTACATCGAAGCAATTGGCGCCTACGTTCGCACCCTGTAACCAAAGCCTGTACATTGTGTTCTTGAGTACATTGTTTCTCCATGACCATGGTATCTTACTGGTTACGAAAGAGAAACCCAAAATGTTACTAGCAATTAGCTGTTGTGTAGTATAGCACGTACTCCCTCCGTCCCGTAAAAATTACAATTCTAGGACCGAGCATGCATACCAAGAAACGATGCTGAATTACGATAATACCTCTATACAGTTTAGTCCCAACAGACAGAGATACAGTTCGCTGACAGATGAGTGGACGAGAGGCTGCGTCCGATTTTTTTTTTTTAATCTGCATGCAGCAGCTAGAATAGAAGACGAGTGGACGATTGGTTTTGCTCAGGGTGGGTCCCACTAGCTGACATGGTACCTATACTTTGTATGTGTGCATTTTTTGTTGGACAAAATTTAAATGGTAGGATTGTACAATATTTTTGGGGCGGAGGGAGTACATCAGGACGCTTCACCGTGTGTATCCATTTGACTGAATATTGAGCACTGGCTGCATAGTTCACTTTCTGTATGTGAGTTGTTTGCAGTAGCGTCTCTGTATCCTGCACAAACACAGGCACGCTCTGTTCTCCGAGGAAGAGTAGGGGGAAGGCTGTCAGGCGGGCCTGGCATGTGGGGTCCGTGTGTCAGCAGGGAGTGGCCACTGTCAGGTTGGATCCCTTTCACTCAGGCTAACAGGCCGCTGGCTGGCCTAAATGCACACGCGATGGGGACGGGCAGATCTGGAGTTTAGGCCCGTAGGATAGTTTGGTATTTCCCCTTTTCTTTTTTATTCTGTTTCATTCGAACGGTTCAAAAAGCAATTTTGATTGCGATGTTAACTCTTTTGGATTACCAGTCATGCACAGAACATATGAAGGTTCTCAAAAACATATAACTAAAAGAAATCATTAAGTACGGAATGCATAATAGCCTAAAATTAAATTATGCAAGCATATGCTTAAAGGCCTAACAACTTGTGATTAGATTTTGTAGTGTCTGATGGGGGCGGGGTTCCTGATCTTCTGTGAGACTATTGAATTGGACGGAAAGCGACACACCAATCCAGCTTCAGATCACAAAGACCCGAGCCCTGCAACCTTAGCACCACGTCTCCTCTGGTTATCAACCGTGTCATAGTCCGGTTGACCTCGCCAAGAAGGCTAATCCCTGCTGCGAATCGAAGAACACAAGCAAGAACAAGATAAAGCGCAACTCAATTGAAGTGACAATTGCAGATGAATGATTAAGCACTCGAAGTTGGGGTCTTGCAAACCGATAACGGCGACTGTTCAAAGACAGATTAATCTAAAGCAAAAACCCAAACCCTAACGTAAGTGGCGGCTACCGAATATATAGCCTAAGGGGCATGCAAGCACCCTTATTCACGTCCCTAAGGAGCCCCAGCATGTTACAAGGCCCAAATGGCCCAAAAGACGGCGACGCAGTGGCTTGACAAATTCTAGATGTCAACTTCTTTCGATGCTTCCCATTGATTGGAAAGGAATTTTGACATGGGACAATTTTCATTGGTTACCTTATCAAATTATCTTTCCAACCATATATGGATCATCAAAAACGAAGTCCGTATGCGACCTAGGCATCCGTTTTACTATACGCTGCTCCTGGAGCCTGAGATGGACTCGAACTTGACTTGGATTGGGCCTCCAACTTGGCTTGGACGCCCTTGCTTGCCTCATAAGGTGGTGGCCAAGGAATAGGACGTCCTTGGGTATCTCTTAGGTGTTCTCCATCTTCTCGGGGCGTGCTCCAACTTGGTCATGGGTCCCAAGTGTGAATAACAAGCCCACAACGACATCGAAGCACCCGACAGAAACAGTGGCAGAATGTCTTGATGATTTGAAGACCTTGCCGATGTGATATTGAGGTGGGAACAGATCTATTTGAAAAGCTTATCAAATAATCTTTCCATCAAGTGTTCATTGACCTCAATCGCACTATCGGGCTGCCGACGAACCGAATGTTGGAGTTTGACGAGCTTGCATTGCAAGATCGGTCTTGTTCATGACATATCCATACTCTATCATCATCGCCATTGTTCCTAAGCACATTTGAAATACTGATATTAGGTAGTAACAAATTCTTAATTTTATCATTATGCAAACATAGGAATGAGCTCACCTTTTCTTTAACTTTCATGGGCGTATCCATAGGTGTCATCTCCACATCATCCTCCCCTTCTTGATAGCGAACCGTCCTCGGTTTGAACTTAGTTGGAGGACAAGTTGCAAGTAGTAGCCAACATTGCTCCCTTTCTTGAAATTTAACCTGTTTCTTTATAACAAAACTTGGGGATCTCAACATTACAGATTATATCTATTGCAACCCTCTAATTGATCATATTGTTGCACAACAAAAAGAGATTTCAGATTTGAACAAATATAAACACGATGCACCATATACTCTCCTTTACAATTATATTTTCCAATAAAATGATATGTACAAGTAGACAACCATGGCAATTCAACACATTGAAGTTTCTCTTCCAAACTACTAAGAGCACACAGAGTATCAAACTCAATATAACCCAAAGTATTTAGAGGAGACAATAATTTTAGCTCGTCTTTTTTAGCATTAATGGGAAGCAATTTCTTATTTTCATCACAAGTATTTTGTTCCAAAACAAAAGAATCATTCTCATTCACTGGTTGTGGCACATGAATAATCATACCACTATCACACCACTCTTCTTTATCACAAAGATCAATAGAACATTCATCATGTGACAAAGGTAAATCAATAGAAGGTTCTAGTATAGAATTATTAGCATCATTGGTGAAAAAATTTAGCACATCAAGAGAGCTCTTACATGATACATTTACATGCTCTTTCTCAGTCACCTTGCCCTCTTTTTTGGATACGTGCCGCAAAATATTAGTTCCAACAAGAGGCAAAGAAATATCTTCATTTTGTAAAAATTTAGACTTAGATGAAGGTATTGTAACATTTGATATAACCCATTCTTCTCTAAAAGGCTCATTCTTTCTCCTCTCGGCCCTTAGGAGATCTTCCCTTAAAATTTGAGCACTAGTCATAGGTATAAGTGTAATTTTCATACCATTATATTTAAACAAATATTTATTAGCAATCGTATTGTGCACAACATTATTTTCAGATATCCATGGTTTACCAAATAACAACTGACATGATTGCATAGGTACTATATCAAATTCAGCGCTATTCTTATAAGGACCAAGGGAAAACTCAATGCGTGCAATTTCAGTTATCTTTGGGCCTGTTTGTTTCCACTTCTCCTGGCCACGCTTGGATTATAATCTAAGCGAAGATTTTCTCGTTTCTCGCTTTTCGCTTCTCGTAGTTTAAATCTCTGAAGCGGCTTACCACATAAGCGAGAATCGGTGGAAATAAGCAAAGCGTTTGGCTAGATTCTCGCTTATTTCCACCGACAAGCCGCTTATAAGCGGAAACAAACGGGGCCTTTATCTTATCCCAAGAATTTATCCATTGGACGTAGTATGGATCTGAATGTGGCTTTGTGGTCAGACCAAGCTTCTCAACCATCTCTAAGCTTGCAAGGTTGTTGCAAGTCTCGCCATCAATCATAACACGACAACACCATTCCTTCACAACAAAGTATATTCGAAACAAGTTGTTGAACTGATTTTGCTCCGCCTTCTCCATTTGAGAACTGAGCACTCCCTATGCAAACTCCGTAGTACATGCGGGAGGTGGTAGGGATGATGTCACTGTAGCAGAGGAGGACAATCGTGTGCACGCTCTAGTGTCCACTTTTGTAATTATTTCATCCATCCTTGTACACAGTCGGTCCATGATGTCCTACGATTCACTCTTAAAAAGAAACTCGTTGTTTAGCATTATTAGCAATAAAAATAAATGCCCTATCAATTATTTATGGGTCAGTGGAATCACACTCACACGTCTTACCAAGCTCTTACAAGTGTTCTTACCAAAGCAAGCAGTGGATGGTACAGCCGGCGGCTGATTCGTGATACCGGTGAGGGCGTGATACCGAGATTGCAAGGATCTTTTTCTGTATTGATCTGATGTATATATGTTGAGCTTGGGAGGCTTAAAATATGGTAGCAAGGAATAGCAATAATTTAATTCAGAAATTGCAAGATTGAAAAGTAGTCCAAGTTAGTCTATGTCGCCGGTCTAAGATCGTCTTGGACCTAACTCAAGCAAGCAACAATACAACTCGACATGAGGACTCAAAAGATGCAAGCAATTCTGATTTTTTTGTCACTTTCTTTTTCTTTTGGTGCGGCTCTTTCATTTTTCTTCTTTTTTTTTGCCCCTCTTTGCTTTTTTTCTCTTTTTTTAGGGTGCGGCTTTTTTTTGCACCTTTGCCTTTTATTCTTTTTTTCAACCAGAGAACCCAAACTGCAGCAATATATTACAACTCAACCTGACAACAAACTGCACTCTACAGGCGAGGAACAGCTAGAATATTTTATGCAACAGGACAGGTTGAACTACGCTGCTCAAACACAAGGTTATAGGCAGTCCAAAGCTTCCAGCACTGAATGTAGAGTTACTGGGCAAACGTGAGGCCGGCTCCCTGCTATGCTTTTTCTAGAAACGCCTCCTTATTTTTAATTAGTGCATTAGCAGATTGGAAACTTCAACGTAGAGTCAAAAAGATTATAGGACTCTCTAACCAAGTGTTGCTTTCATCGAATAAACAATATATATATATATGAAGCTTCAGCTAATAGGACAAACCAACTAGTCTCAACTAGTATAGTACGCAATTCAGCTTCTTGTGTCACTCGTGTCCGTTTCCTTTTTGACAAAGTGACAGCCCTATTCTAGGTTAGCAGTAAACTTCTTTTGCAAAAAATACGCTGACCAGCAAACTCAAAGCGTGAACCAGGAACCAGATATGAACGAGACCTAAACACGGCGAACATAATGACACACGAGGGACGACCGTTTAATATAACAATGTGAAATAAAAAAATTGCAGAGGCGCAATGGGTGATAGGACTAGGGGAAAACGATGAACACAA